TCTGGACTGTGCCTGGTTTGTTTGCCTCCCACTTCTCTTCGTCAGCTCCACATACCTGATCCTAAATGAAAGACTGGGAAAGCCTGAGCCATTTCTAGTCTCTACTCTCCAATTCCAGTAATTCAAGTTGCCACATTCCCAAGACAAATGAAGAACTTCTGCACCCTTACTCTACTCCAGACAAGGGTCTTCTGTGATTTTGTCAACTGCACAACTCTGGGTCATGAAATAAGGAAAACAAAACTAATAGTTTGTAGAATTTGCCAACCAAAGTCAAATTATGATTTGGATGAAGCTATACCTAGCTGAATGGGATCAAATCAAAGCAGAGAATTAAATAAAAAATGCTAAAGGCTGCAGGGATTTAGTTCATTACCAATCACTGTACTCTGGTCCCAAACACAACATGTCCATATTCAAATGACTAATATCATAAACTGTTAATTGTCTGGCAGAACCTATTTTTTAGGGGGTTGACACAACCTGATGAGTCTGCCAAACTGTATGAAAATCCCTGATATAGGGAGTTTAAACTGTGTTCTGGTGCACAGGATCCCAGGAAGGTTATGCTGAAGTTGATAAAAGCAAAACAGGTGAAAAGAAAAGGCAAATGAGGAGACAATGTTTTGTCTGTGGACCTTTACCTAGTTCTTATGGAAAATGTCCTACAAATTTAGCAGTATGTGCTATTTCTAGCCTGCAGTTTATGAATAGGGCTTTCTCTCCTGCTCCTAAGTCTCCTTCATTTTGCAGGCTGTGTGCTAAAACATCAGCAATCTTGCTCCCTTTTCACTTTGCACGCAGACTGAGAACAGGCTGTCAGACAAACAAAAAATTCTCACAAATGATGCAAGTCACTGCTTTGGTGTAGCTGCCTGCCCCTGCTGATGGCAGGGCTGGCTCGGGCAGATTTGGTTGGCCTACCTTGCGTGTCCCAAGCAGGCTGCGTGGGAGGGGATGCCTGCGTGCTGCTCAGTTGCTGCCTCACTCAGAAGGCTGGCACCAAATGGTCAAATATTCATGCACAAAAGTACATGATTATGGAAATGCTGGATTGCGTGTGAAGGGAATTCTGCTAGTTTGTTTCTCAGAATTTATATTTTGCCTGCCTTTGTGTAGGATTTCAAAAGCAGTTTGGCTGAATACATGAGTGTTTTTGTTTGTTTTCTCATTGCGTTGATTTTCTTTTCCAAGAGCTATTTTTTCTTTCAATAAATAACAACAAAGAAGATGGCCAAGGCCTACAATGCAGATGATCAGCAAGGATGATATTGTCATCCTGTGTCAATTGGTTCCGAGTCTGGTGAAATAAACAGTCCCTTGGGAACGTCAGTGCTTCATCAAGACCAATTAGTGGATCTGCCGCTGCTGCTTATGTGTAAGCATTAACGACTGGGCAGGGCTGCTTTTTGGAGTGCCTGACACTGGCATGGAACAAGGCACCGACCTAATTACTTCTCTACAAGAGCAGAAAATGCCTCATGAATGCCTGCTTGGCAAGGATGTCTCATTAAGGGGAAAAACCCAACACAAGCACTCCTAGAAGCAAAAATTAAAATTATAGGTAACCTGCGGCCATGAGACTTCCTTCATGGCTGTGGGAAATGAAGAGAAACTGCTGTAAGGTGATGTATAGATGGATAAAGGCTTCTTTGTATTTTGTTTCCTAACTCCATCTATTTTTACAGTCCATAAGGAGTATGAGAGGCAGAATGCAAACTTGCATTGTTGAAGAACAGAAAATACATTGCTATCTTTGGTATCAATATTAAATAGGGCTTGAAGGGCATTCCCATATTGGTGTCTGTTGGAAGTTGTTTTATTAGTCTGTTTCTTCAGGGTTTGCAAACTGGCCTAGGAAATTAAAGGGTTTGGTAGACCTGAGTGAGGAATTGGTAATGAGGAGCTTATGATATATAGCCTCTCTTTCCTGCTTAAAACGATCAAGAAGCAAACTGTGGTTTCCCAGTTCAAGAGTAGTGGCTAGATATTTTCAGTCATGATATTTTGTTAAAATAAAACCTGAGGAGTAAGTAGAAACAACTGCTCAGATGTTTCTTTGGTACAAAGCAGCTCTGTTCCTTCCTGACTTATAGGTGCTTCTTCTTATCTTTATTTTTCTTCTCCTTTGAAGAGTGAGAGTGAATATAAGAAATTAAGTGTGTTGTTTAATTGTGATTTGTGAGAAAAATTATATGTCATTCCTTCTTTTCTTTGACTGGATGAGAAAACACTCTTAAATACTGAGGCCAGTATTCACCAGGGGGTTGGGTGAAGCACAAATACTTACATGTCAGGCTTTGCCCAAAAGGCACATTTTCAGCAAGCTATATCTGAAAAAGTGTGTGTGGTAGTTCAGGAACAGTTAAGCTTTCTAGGTGAAGAGGGATCTAGTGTTTGTGTAGATATGCATGGGTTGTGTTTCTTGAGATGTCCCTTCTTTTGGTAGTCACCAATTTATCACAAATTGCTGAATTGTTTAGTTGGCCTCTGGATTGAATGCAGCTCTCAGGGTGATCATATGGATGCCACATGATCTTGACCTGATTATTTCTTTGTTCAAGTGCAGCCTTTTACCTTACTCCTGCTTTATCTAGCTTACATCGCAGAATGGCAAAGAGAAATGATCAACAGTTGAACAGAAGACTACATGCTAAGCTGCAGGTAGCCTAAAATGCTGTAAGATGCTTAATGCTACTTCTTAGATGCAAGAGCCTGAGTCTCTGAGCCTGCCTCTCCAGACAGATCATTTCTTCTCAAAAACTGGGATATAGTTATTTTCTTTCTTTGAGTTCAGTGGATAGTGCACTCACACATCAGGTCCTAAACTCAGGTGTTTCAAGCTGTTTTCAAAGGCGAAGCACAAAGCTTTTTTTAAACTATTGCCAATGCTCTAGCAGAGAGCAATGCTGCAGGTGGAGGTCTACAGGGATGGGGCCAAAAGGGGCTTTGCTTTTCCAGAGCATCCTTGTTTCTCTTGACTGTGCTGCAGCTGCATATCCTCTGCTTCCAGTGGCATGATCACCACATACTTGGCCTGGTGGGATCTGTGGGTCTCAGGCCACCTTTTCTTCTGTGGTCCTCTTCCTTGCTCATCTCTGAGTGAGAATGGTGGCATGGTTGTTTCAATTTACCCCATCAAAAAGAGTCAAAATAATGCTCCTAATCATGTGCCAACATGCTGTGAGACATTTTCATATAGCTATAAAGTCGGGAAGCATTAATGGCTGTGCCTTACAAACTTTTCTTTGATTAGACTCTTGCTTCTGTTGTTATTCTGATGAAATAGTGCAGAGCCATGACTAACTGCAGTTTTGTTCAAGATAATCAGGTTTCTGGGGGAGAAATGGAGGATCCAGTATCAGCAATCTACTTGTCTTTGGATCTATGTTCAGCAGCAACTTCATGAGTTCAGTATTCAGCTGTTCACTCAGCTTCTTACTGCATCTGATACCCTAAAATGCAATGTAAAATAGAAGTGCACCAAAAATCAGTTATTTATTCAGTCTTAACACAGTTCTCATCCATAGACTTTAATTGCAGTGTAGCTTCAGAAAGAAATGCATAAAATGTTAAAGACTTTGGCCCTGTGTGTTTCCTTCAAAACAACAATTCTGAACTTAATCAAATAGTCAGTGGACGGAGAAAGAAAGAGTCAGGAAAATACAAAAGGATAATTGCAGTGCTGTACTAGAGGCTGATGTTAAAGACAGAGACATAGGAATTTCTGAGGCAGAGCTCATTAAAAATTAATTGTGTTATGCAATAATTTTTTGTGGTTGTATAGTAGTTATCAGCTAAGGATCTTGGAGACCTCTGCAGGCTCCACCTTATTCTGTGATTCCCTCCTGTGAGTTACTTTTATTTCTGTCTTTTGTTCTATAGACATGCAAACAGAAATGGTCAGGCAAAATGACCTTTCCACCACTGCCTGTTTGGTCTGAGTTAGATCTGAAGTTGGAGCTGAGAACAGTTAATTTTCACCTCATCCTACTTCAGCCATGATATAAACTTTCCCCTTTTCCTGCTGTTTTCCCTCCCCAATCATCTTGTACAGAAACATTGCAGTAGAAGGAAATGTTTCACTCAGTCACTGATAAAATTACTGCAAAGGGGTTAGAAGAAATTTTAGAGAGCACAATCTCGAATGATTCACTGTCAAAGCAGTGTATTTATTAAGTGGGCATTTGCAGCGATCTCTTGTGTTTGATACTCTTGAGTATTTTCATTGGTGGACTGCAGGATGAAAGAGAATACACTAAGCTGCAAATCTCTCAAAACTGAGAGGCACTGTGTGCATTGTGAAAATCAGGAATATAACGCAGAATGATTTTTGAGAATTGGAAAAATGGCTTGAACTGCAGGCTGTGGGCTGAAAAGGGACCTAGGCTTTATAACACCTTACTAGCTAATCTCTAATCAACAGGCTGCTGTTTTTCTAAAACAATCATGGTGTTTCATAAAAAGCAAACATCTAAAATATATAAACAGGTGTAGTCTGTGAGCTACTTCATTCTACAAAGTAGTCGTCTGATTATACTGAAAATTAGTGAAAACACTGTTGAAGTTTTGAGTAGTGAGCTTCGAGGATGATGTGAACCAAGTGGAGAGAACTCATGGAAAATGCCAGTGGAAAAACCCCCATGTGTCGCAGAGGAATGTTAGAAGAAATTTGAGGTTGTCTGTCTGAAAGCAAATACAAGTCTCCAAACACATAAGGGTGGACAGGACCAAGTATGTAGTGGACAGGACAGACCTCTTATCAATTTTCTAACTTTAATGAAGTAGCATATTTGTCAGAAATGCTGCATTTTCCTGAACTGTGAGTGCAGGTGGACAAGATGACTGTTTTGGAGCTGCTGCTTTTGATGATTTGCTCTGCCCCCCTGTGACTCATTAGGTGTACTCTGAACAGGTGACTGTTTGAAGAAAGTATTCATAAGGATACTGCACAAGCAAGTCACACTAACTTGCCATGTTTTAATTTGTTCTGCCATCAGGTCAAACTGGGAGGTGAAGCCCCAAACTCCAGTGTAATCCACATAGCCAAGGGCAGTGATGACAGCAGTGGCAGCTGGAAGAATGTTGGTGGCAAGTGTGGAACCAAATGCCACCTTCTGGATTTTGCCAACTCAGAGCGGCCACTGGTCGTCAACTTTGGCTCAGCTACCTGACCCCCGTTCACAAGCCAGCTGTCAGCCTTCAGCAAGCTGGTGGAGGAGTTCTCTGGTGTGGCTGACTTTCTGTTGGTCTACATCGATGAAGCTCACCCATCAGATGGCTGGGCTGCGCCTGGAATCTCCCCCTCTTCATTCGAAGTTAAGAAACACAAAAGCCAGGAAGAGAGATGTGCAGCTGCTCACCAGCTCCTTGAGCACTTTTCCTTGCCACCTCAGTGCCAAGTGGTGGCTGACTGCATGGACAACAATGCCAATGTGGCCTACGGGGTTTCATTTGAGCGAGTATGCATTGTGCAGAGACAAAAAATTGCCTACCTGGGGGGCAAAGGCCCCTTTTTCTACAACCTTCAAGAGGTCCGGCTTTGGCTGGAGCAAAATTTCAGCAAAAGATGAAATCCTTTCTCCACAGGAGTTAGGTCAACTGATGTGTCCCTTTAAGGTGATGCAAAAGGGAAAAAAAAGAAAACATATGCTAGTTTGAAAAAAATCTTTCAGATGATTGCAGGAGAACACATTTGATAACAATGTCAAGTGAATGTTAACTAGGAAAAGAAAATAAAAGAAAAATCTAGCTCCACAGAAACATTGTCAAGTGAAAAAAAATTGCACTCCTGCTCTTGCTATGGGACAGAGGAGGTGAACAGGCTTCTCCAAAAAGGTGCTGCTGGTAAGCAGGTAGGGTGGTTTGGTAAGACCTGTTTCCCAGAAGCCTCAGTCCTGGGGTGAGGCACAGAAAGCGTTTCTGCTTGGAAGGCATTCCATGGAAAGGCAATGCTGTACATTTCATCAGAAACACTTCTTTACTCCCTGTGGCCAATGCAAGGAACCGGAGAGGAGCAGGGGTTTTGCAATTGCTTTGCATACAAATGCAGCGCAGTGTGGCGATTTTCCTATCTTGGTAGAACATTTATGGGTCAGAGACTGCAGGAACCACATGCAGACTGGCACAGGCAGACTGGCTGCTCAGAGCAAGATGAACCTTTGTCTGCTGGTATTTGTACTCTCTGTGGACACCTCTGCATAGCATATTAACTGTGTAATGCTACCTTACATGTTTGTAACCAGTGTGCAGGCCTGTGCCTGCTGAGAAAGGTGTTAAAATCTATGGAGTTGGACCAAAAAGACAAAGGTGATCAAATAAGCCCATTACCATCTGAAAACTGAAATACCTGGAGTAATTATAACACAACATTGAGAATCATCTAGAGCATGCATCATGAGACAAAACTCAGCTGATGCCAACCAAACCCTTGGTTCTGAGAGCTGACAACACACATTTATCAATGTTCTCTGGTTCTCATCTCTGTTTCTTTACCCACCTCCACCTCTTTCTGTCTAGCAATAGGATTAAAGGTAATTTCATTTTTAGCTTTAAAAAAATAACTTATTTCTCTCTTTTTTTTTTTTTTAATGTGACCTTGCAGGTATATTTTGGGGATGGGAGAACTTATGCACAATTTTACCTCATTGAAATGGAAACCTATCCAGTCATTTACCCTGTTAAATGTAGTCATGCTGCCTTTTACTGTCTTAGATACCTGAACCTTGTTTATATCTATGTTAATCTGAAACTTAAGTTGTTTGCAGCCTTAGAATTGATTGGCTGCAGTTCTGCTACTGGATGAGCTGATAGTCTGTTTTGCTCATGTTCTTGAAAACCTTCCCAGAAGACAAACAGGAAGGACAAATAGTTTGAATTAATGTAAGTGTTAAAGATGGCAGAATTTTCATATGAATGAGTATGAGCAATGGATTGTTATGTTGAAAGAGATACTGTGAACTTAGAGTACACATTAAGTTAGGCATTTCTAAAACTAAAATTATTTAATCAAGCCTGATGAAGAGACATATTTACAATGAGCTAACCTATTAGAACTGATAAATGAAAACCCATATGGAGATGGACTATCCAAGTTTTCTCTCGTCTTTGGCAGAAACATGAAACAGATAAACAGAATAAGTGGCAAAAATCAAATTAGTTCTTAATTTCTCATCCTGCCCATCATCAGGAATATGATGTGTTGATGCTGATATAAGAAAGAATGGAAAATACATAAGTGTTTTAATTTTCACAATGCTCATTAATATTGTATATTTCCTCTAGCTTGGCTGTTGGTCAACTTAGCCAATGTAGGAGGAATTCAGAAATGTGTTTTCAAGCACAGATCTGAAATAATGACAGTAACATGGGTAATTTCTCCCATACTCAGGTTCATGCTTCCCATTCTTCTCACATTTTCCTCCACATTGTTAGACATAGATACACATGAATTTACACAGTTGGTAATGTGCATTGGAGAAGGGTGTAAAGCATAGCTGTCAAATCTCCTAGTGAGCCCCACTTCCCAGAAGGCCTGTGTCTCTCTGTGTGTGCATTTATATATGCAGCCACATGTATATAATACATTTTTATGTATGTGTATATATATGTGTGCACATATAAATGGTGTCTAAGACCACTAATAATCGTTATCCTGTCCTACCATTCATTAATGTTACTGTAAATCATTGCTCAATGCAGAAGATTGTTACAGATCTTCATGACTAACTGGGATATATAACTGAATTTTAAAAACCTGTTATCATAGAAACAGTAACATAGCCAAACTACATGGTTTATTTAATCCAGTGTCCTACCTCTGACTGTATCAGATGCTTCAGGGGAAGGTGCAATAATTTTTAACTTAGAGAATTTTTATTAGCTTCAGCCCATATTTTTTTGCCTCATCTGAAGTGACTGTTGATGTCTCATCATCCCTTATGAGAGGCTGATTCTGGGTATTAAGATTTAAATATTTTGTGAGGTGGGGATTACTAAAATTAAAAAAACATCCCTTGTAAGTTCAAAGAAAACCAAATGAAAACAGATTTTTTTCTTTCATATTTAAATAGGCTGTTTTTCAATGTCATTCTCATCTCTTGCTGTTATATGCTAAACCACTAAGCATAAGCGATCCCAATTTTTCTTCTGTACATCGGTCATATATAATCTATATAGAAATTTGCATACCTTTTGTTTGTTTAAGACAAACAATAACTCATGTTCTTACACAGATTCATACTTTTTCCTTGTCTCTGAATCTCTTCTGTTTTTGCTACACTGTCCTTTTACTCGGGTGAGTAAAGATGTAGACATTAATCCAAGTGAAAAATCTGTATTTATATACCCAGCACAGCATCTTTTCCTTATTATATCCTATTCTTCAGTCAGCTGAACTTTTTTAATGCACAGCAACTCCATAGCCTTTGTAAAACTTAAACTAGTAAGTCTTTTCTTCTTTTCCTCATTATACTGTTGAAATCTGAACTGTTTATATGGGAAGTGCTAGCCAAATGTTTAACACAGCTGTTGAAACATACCTTTAGTTCAGAGGAAAGAGTCGGAATTAGTAATTCAGTTTGTTAATACCCATTTGCATATCTAAAGTTACAATTATTTTTCAAGTCCATTCTCTCCTTTTTCCATTACTTTGTTTTGTAATTCATAGATGCCTCTTCATCACATAGTATACAGGAATTACAGGAATTATAAAATTGGCTCCTGTAAATGGGAAAACCACATTGATTTTCCACAAATAAAAATACACAATAACTTCATCTTTTTTTTGGCAACATGTATGACTGTCCTGCCTAAAATTTAAAGATATTCCAGCCTCACTTTTTATCAAGACAGAAATACATTTTGCAAAATCTTGGGTTTCCCCAGAAACTTCTGGTCAGAAAGCAGGGCTTTCTTCAAAGTGAAATAGGCATAAAGGAAAAAAAAATGGAAAAGTATTTTCTAGGAGGCTGACAAAAACATGCCTTTTTTTTTTTTTTTTTTTTTTTTTTTTACAAAATTAAAACATTTTATTGAAAAGGTTTTAAACGAAATGTCATCCCCAGCTGATAATAAAAGTGGCCATATCTCACATACCCAAAATTATTGTAACAGCTATTTCGGGTCAAGGTAGAGATTTTACTTCTTTGCTAGCCTTGTCTAGTCTGCTGTGAGACTGGATTTGCTTCTGTCTCATCCTCACTGCATCAGGGCACTATGCCATATTACTTGAGCTGCTCCAGTGTGACATACATGTTGAGCAACAGCTCTGAAAGCATTCTGGAAGGCTACTGTATATAATAGGGACCCCAATACTGTGTCTCAACATTAGTATGGGAAACTTCCAGTATTTTTCATTTTGAGTAATGTAAAGCAATTCTGGGCTATCATTCTACATTGTTCTGTGCTTAGCATCTGTATTTAGCACTGTATAAAAGGAATGTAAAACATTTTGTGCAGATGAGGAACTATAGCATTTTGCTCTTTCCTTGTGTAGACAATGACATAAATTTAAGGCAGCAGGAAAACGTGCCCCATGTCTATTAAAAATAAGAAAATATATATGAAATATGTTGTTGAACATCTGTCTGAACACGCTGAAAAACAAAATGCAGTGATTTTTAAGAAGGTGATGGTGGGGAAACCTACAACACTTCTCAAAAAGGTATTTGTGCTATGCATCCAGGTGTGTGTGGAGGGAAGTTATGTTTCTGCATGTGTAAAATTGGCTTTTCTGTGATGTGGAGTATAGATTTAGGAGTTTTTAAGACTTTCATTCAGTACTATAACCAAAGCAATAAGAGGAGTCAGGTAGGGAATATTGGCCAGTTTTGTATAACTCGACACCATGTCTGTGACAAATCCATAATCAGTTGGGCCCAACTTGGAGTCTTCAGTGAAGAGGGATTGGGGTGAGACAGGGGAGGCTTGTGTGCTCATGAAGATGGCTAACAAAAGAGTGATTAACTCAGTTAGCTTTCAGATGCCCTCACACTGGCTTTGCCCTGTGCACCTCAGTGTGGCTGTATTTGAAAGAGGAGTCTCTTTGGGTCTGTCAATAAGATTGCCGTGGTGTAGGTGCCTGTGTGTACTATGTGTGTGTCATTGTTTAAATGTCAAAAATACACTGCAGGAGAGCCAGCAAAATTTTGTTACAATATGGTGCTCCATGAAATGTGCTTTCTAGATTTGTTTTTCTTGTATTATAATAAATGATAATGGAAAATATACCTCTTCTGTGTTTTATTCTGATTGCTAATACACAGTGGAATCTTGACATTTGACCAAGGAAACTTAGACCTGTTTAATACAAAAGGTTGTGCCACCCTGATTAGATCTTAAGCAATGCAAGCAAAGCTCCTTATAAGTGGTGGAGCTAATTTACTATCTGACTACTCTCAGCTTTTAAGAAAGGTAAAGGGGATGGAAACAGAGAACTGCAAGGACAGTAGTTGAGTATGCACAGAATTGCAGTGTTAAAAAAAAAGTGCTTGAAGAAAGCATGCCAATCTGTATACAGCACATGAAACCTAGGCAAATTGGTTATGAATGCATGAGCTATAAATGCCACTCCCATTTCAATGTACAGGCAAAAGATAAAAAAACAAATTAAAACCACAGCTGAATAGCTGCTGCAAGAAAAAAAAAAGTGCCGCAACTTTTTAACAAACTCACTTCATGATTTAATTGTATTTTAGAAATTGCCTCTTCTTTGTCATCTTTTGTTACAGTAGGTTTTATAGGACCCTGCATCTAAAAACTGGTCTGAATATAGGTGAGAAAGAAAAAAAAATCCGCAAAAGAAAGACCATGAAAAAGGTTCTATCCTAGTACCCCAAACAGAAATGTTCATTATATTATACTTTATAGCCCTTGATAGAAATAAATATCTCCCTCTAGATTCTCTAGCTTGCATCACAAAAATAACCCCCAAAAGTACTGAAAGGAGAATTTTGAGTTGAGAGAATTTTCCTGTTGTCTGGTGGTTAGTGATTATGAGCATTATATTAATTGTTGCTATAAGGAGCTAGTCAGTACTCTGGAAGAAATAAAAACACCCTTCAGGTCTTGCTTCTTATT